CACACATGTGTGTGTATGTAAGCATCCCAGTCAGATTAAACACGTGATCAAGACCTGTTGGAGCGTGTGAATGGAGCAACCTCCTTGGTTTCTTTTTTTCCGTTCACGCTTCATCTCAACCGACTAAATCCCACTTCTATCCTCTTCCACCTCAAATAAAGTCATACCCTTCCTTCCTGCTGAAAATGTTAACTTCTCCAATACCTCATTAACTTCATTACAGAGAACGTGAGAAGGCCTTGGAACATCGGCATGGTTCACTGCTATGTTTGGAGCATTCATTAACAGAGCTCCAGTGATGGATTTTAACAGAGATGTTAGGGGATCAATGTTGTAATGAAGGGCACAGTGTGTGGGAGGAAGCATTTATTATCATTATCAGAGGTAATAAAACTTTTGCCCCTTAACAATGGGCTTCCACCCACGCCGGATGGATGTGAGTGTTAGGCTCGGGCTACCTTAATTGGTGAAAACATTGTCCTAATGGTGTCAAGGTGGCACTGCATTATAAGCACATCATCATTCATTTCAGACACAAGACAGAAGGAAACTGTGTCATCATCAGCATAAATGGGAGCGTTTCATACAGCCCCTATGTGAGTGCTTCAGTAGCCAAGCAAATTAACCATTTAGATGGGAAATGAAATGGGATCAATAAATAATGAGTCAAAAATGTCACGTGTGTCACTCAATCATCTGCTTTTCACACCGATATAGCAGCTTATCAGAAGCTGCAAATTACCCACAGCACCGGCTATGAATATGATTAGCATTCTCATTTTCCCCAAGAAAATTCTAATAAATACAGTTGTATTATATCAGCACTTATTTCACAGCATTTCCCTGTGCAAATGTAGCAATCATCTGGACCGCATCAAAGCCAACCACATATCGTAATTTCCTTAAATTTAAAGCAGAAAACACATTGTGACAAAACAGATCTGCTCCAGTATGATCTCGTGAAGTAGCTGAAGTAGCAATATGTGCAAACAGAGCACAGGTCATTTCACTGCAAATTACTAATATATGTTTCAATCCTATTCTCTGCCGGTGCATTAAACTGTTAGCAATAAAACGTGCCGCCTTCCTTTGACCTTTGATGAACAGGTGAACATTCTATAAAAGCAGCCGACGAGGTAAATTTTATGGCATTATCATGAATTTGACAGTCCGTGACACACAGCTCATCTGAAGAGCGGTACTTATATGAGTTGGACTCTGCTGGTTACAAAGCAGTCATGGACTATATGTCAGAGTTGCCTGCGTACTTCAATTTCTGCTCGCTCTTTATTCATTAAATTGCAAAAGAAAAGTTGGTGATTTAGAGCTACCCCAAAAAAAACCCAAAAAAACTCACAGATATTTATGATTTCTCCATCTAACACGTTTGATTTCTTGCATGAACTCACTGGACTTTGTCAAATATCACCTCTCTGTCGTGATGTTAGCATCATAAGTGATAATACAGCTTAAGCCACCACTGAGGTGTTTTATTATTATTCTTTTCAGCAAGAAATGTTTTAAAAATGTTTATTTATGTTCAGTGTAGCTGGTAATGAGACAGCAGCATTTCTATAACACAAACTTTCGCTTGCTAGAAAGTCCAACAAGGATGTGAAGGCAGTGTTGTAGACACACCTTGAACCCACAACCTAACATCCCCTGGTCAACTTTCATTTTTGAACTCGTTTTCAACCATGACTAGACATCGAGAAAAGACCGTCAACTCTGAATTCAGGAATTTTAATCAAATAAACATCAGCACAACAGCATCAGAAAACTCCTGTTTGCTTGTTTCCCTGAATGAGTCATGTTCACTTTCCATAGTCGCTCAAAATTTAAAACTGGCCGCTCACACCCGACCTGCCACGCCCTGCAATTTGAGAACCAGGGCTCTAACAGCTCCTGCACACTTGGCACAGTTTTTTCACCCTCTCTTTACAGTACGCGATACATTCTCCCTCATTTGTGCTGCCATTTGGGGATGGTAAATGATGCATGTCTCTAAAACAGATCACAACAAGAAGTCACGTTACCTCACCATCGCATATGCTGACCTTAAATTTAAATCAGAAATAGTAAACTAAAAAAAATGTAACTTTAAAAAATTGATTTTCAAAATTCTGTCACTTGAAGCAAATACAGAAGAGAGAATCTTTCATGTGCATTTTTTATGTTCTAATATGCCATTTGGTGTTTACTCTAATCCAAAATGCTGAGCACCAGAGTGACTGAACAGATTTTTTGACATGGGTGGCCTTGGTGGAGCTCACTGAGTTGGGGAGATTTAGGGGGAAAAAAAGTCTGAATGTAGATTGGGGGACAAGAAGCTCCTCAACAGGACTGCGCTGTCAGGTGACAAATGGTGCCCCGGGCCAGTGGAGTGCCAAGAATGGCCTCTTAATCAATCAGAGGTCAGCGTGCAGGCTGAGTCCAGACTGCCTCCACCCCGAGTGGCAGCCATCTGATGGAACACTTAATGCCAAGCCAAGAAGCACACGGCTTTTTCTTCTGGTCAGAATCACTGTTGCTGCCATGCTCATCACTTCAGAAAACATGAGAGCTCAGTGCAGAGACATCTTTGTCCTTCAGTTTAGGTTTATTATTACAACAGAAGAAAGTTGAAATAGTTGAATTAAAGATTCAATCCTTAAACTTTCATTGTGTACCTATTATTTTAAACATGTCACATTCATGTTCTAATTTTCTATTTTGAAGGTCCTGGAGAACAATCGCATGTTGCTTTAAAAGATTGGCCTCAGCTCCTGCTTAACCCTGCGGCCTCTATCCTTGTCACATTGCCATCTGTACCAGTGTTTCAGGCAGTAAATAAGGGCATGGAGGGTAGTGCACCTCTCTTGTAGCCCCAGCCTAAGGCCAGGGGTGCACATCCTCCTCTGCACCCTGAGGCCCACCCACCAACACTCCCTGAGGCTGACCTACACACTGCAAGGTCCCCAAGGGAACATGTCTAAATTTAAGAGGAAGGCAGGCCTTCTGTCTTCTGTCCACCCCACCCACGTCCTACACATATTACTACTCTCTCCTGCCATCCATCTCTCCATCTTCCATCAAACAGACCATTCATCTGACCATTCCCACTATCAATCCAACCCAAACATACTCACAAAATTTAAAGATCTTTGTCATTCATCCATCTGCTCCACTTTCATTGCTGATGGTGTCATTGTCCTTCCATTAAATCATTCATTCTCCAGTGGCTCAAAGATGGGAATTGTCTCATCCAAAACAATAGTAAGAGCCAAGATTTAGCAGGCCAATCAAAGTTTTAATGCTCCTTTTTCTAACTCAGATGGAAAGAGTCATAAAGCCTGCAAGAATTTTTTTTAAATCTGACTGCGTTGGTGAAAATTAATCTGAATTTGCAGAAAATATTAAAGAAACTACGAGAAAAAGCTGACTGTGATGGCTAACAGTCTCGCATCAAAAGCCATCGAATTCTCCTGAAATGGTGTCACATAGCCATTACACTATCAATAAAACTGCCAATTCACAGGAAAAAGGACCAATCAATAGGCCCACCAATCACCACACACCGACAAATCCATATATCTATTCATCCACCATGACACTCAAGACCTGCATCTGGCAACCCTTAGACACAATGATCAATCCATCTTGTGCCTCTCTCACGTAGAACCTCGTGCTGATTCAGTCCCCACAGGACATGGGGACTGCTAACAGAAGTAACCCAGAGCAGAAATTGAGGCGTGAGAGACAAGAAGAAGGGGAATGAAAGTCACGTAAATAACAAATGTGTTTCAGCTGAAATAACACTGATTAGATTGGGCAAAAACTGCAGAACGCCTGAAGACAAAAAAGGAAAGGAAAAAAATTCCATGGAATCAAGGTCCCAATACTGAGGAACAATATTTCTACAGAAACAGGTAGAGCGAGTGAGAGACAAGCACGGACAAAGACGCACAACGAGAGCCAAAGTACAGGATTGGGCATATCAGAAGTGCAAAGTAGTGTTTCCTACACAAGTATTGAGATGCAGATCAAACTTTCACAACATAATAGGGCCTGTCAGGACTCTGTGTGTGTGTGTGTGTGTGTGTGTGTGTGTGTGTGTGTGTGTGTGTGTGTGTGCTATCGTGGGTGAGGATGTTCATTTGGAAATGATCCTCACACATCTGCCAACCTGCTTTTCTAATGGGGTGAAAATGAGCCTCTTCTGTGCGGGTTTGCAAACCTGGCCGGAATGACTTCTCACATGTATGTCAAGTTTGGGGAAGACGCTCACGATGATATTTGCATATGCATATACAGAAAAGATACTTTAACATCACTGCAGCGTTGCTGTGCATGCAGCAAGGTTCGCTGTTTATTTTCCCTACAAGAATAATGCTCATGCAAAACTTGAACTGGCTGCGTTGCATGCATTTGCACAGGAGTAAAACTTTTATGCTACTTTGCAAAAATATTGTAATCTTTAATGATTAAAAAAAACATGAGTTTCACCATGCCCTGCTGAATTAAACACAGAATTGAGCTAAATCTCTTCCTCAAATCCAAACATGGCTAAAGCTGTGTTTTACTAAGCAGTCCACTTGCCACAACTCAGCTGTAAAGATTTTAACTAGAAGCTCTTGCTGACTTAGTGTTGGGGGATGGGGTTTTAACTGAAGAGGGAAGGGGGGCGAATATGGGGTCACACAGGAGGAGAAATGGGAGGGTCGCTGTTTTCTTTCTCTATGCTTTAGGAAAAGAAAGGAAGGAAGCCCTAGCAAGGAAGAGAAGCCCGAACCAAGTGAGGAGAGATGGATGATTGGGGGAGGGACTGGAGGAAGAGCGCTGTTCATTGGTAGGGCTCGGGTCGAATTACACCATTTGCCGTGCATTAGTTTGTTTTTCTCCCAGCCTGGAGAAGTTGATTCACTGAGACGCGCAGAATCTTTTTTGGGAGATTACGGCAACGCGAAAGGATACAAAATAATCATTTCCGATGAGGTGAGTTCCTTGCAGCTATGTGGACACAGGCTTCTTTGTTGCGCCCGTATTTTGCAGTGAAAGTCGAGGAGGGGGGGAGAAAAAACTAGAGAGGAGAAGTCTTTGCTGGGAAACAAAATATTTCTTCTGACCACGTCGCTATGCTGCTCTGCAAAACCGATGGTTGCAGGACAGAAATAGTTGAGGTCCGGACTATTTTCACTAGTGCTTTCGTGCAACACTATTCATTCATTCCTTACAGGGCTGGCAAAATGAATCCGTCCAGCTCCAAAGCTTTCCACTCCCAGTAAAGGGGGGAAATTGTAGTTGTTACAGTTCCTCCTCCGGTCTTTTAAAACTGCCTATGAAACCGGTGATTTCAAACTTCTGCGAACCATATCTGTATTTATTTATTAAAGAAGAAGAATCACAGAGGATAGTTTTGCGTAAATCCCACATGCGCTATCTTGCTCTCCGCGCACCCTCTGTTGTTTTAGATCAGTTAAGTCAGAGAGCGGCGTAGTAAGGATATCGCATCGTTAATGTTTATATCTTTTCCCTCTGGTTTCCAAAGTTAATCGTAGTGAAAAGGGGGCTGGTGTAACAGTGTATGAGGGAGGAGGAGGGGGGCTGGTGCGGTCGTGGCAGAGCTTTGAAGCTCACTTATCAGAGCGCAGGGGCCCGGGGACGGAGAGAGACTCATCAGAGGCAAGAGTCACAATAATGTGTGGCGAGCGGAGCTGAAATCTGTGCGCAACTGGATAAAAGAGAAAAGTGGGGTCCGGATGGAGCGCAAAATAACAGGAATATTACATGCTGGGGGTTTTCTCGCAAATGGATTACCAAAGGAATATGACATTCTGCTGGACTGCCCCGTTCATGTGTGAAATCGGATACTTGAGGTAGGTGTGCCCAGTGTTTTGTTTTTGCAATTAAACCATGGATAAAGCGCATCTTTTTTTCGTTTTTTAGAAAAAAATACGTGTTTCTTGTTTTTTTTAAATGTTGGTATTAATATTATTGGATTGAATAAAGGGCATAGCCTATTGCTACTGGCCAATCTATCCGGAGCGCTATACTTAGTCACTATAATCTATAAAAAAGTATCAAGTACGTTTCCGAGTAAAACGTCCCGCTTATCGAATGCAAGAGTGCAAATGGGTTCCTGATTATAATCATGCTGATAGAAATATAATTGGAGCCACGCAAACGTTTTCCTTTAACCTTCCGTGCAGGCGAGTGTCCCTGTTTTTATTACAATTTCAGTCCCAATAACAAAGCGTTTCTAGTCTGAACTGTTAAACAGTTCAGAGCAGGAATAAAAGTGTTTTCTGGCATTTTGACTTTACAAAAAAATCAACTTGGGATCAAAGGCAATCTGCGCAGACGAGCGAAAACAAACGGCTGTTAAACAATTAAGAGGCAAACTGGACGAGCAGTGGAAAATGAAGGTCGTTTGCTGATGTCTTTAAAACATATAATACATCCCCTGATCCATTACTAAAGTCACATATTGGATAATAAATTGCAAAAGCGCCCGTAACCTTTCTGGAGGCAGAGTGGCACGGAAGCCCTGCCCTGTGAATAGATTAAGTGCTATGGAGGCAGTTAAACGAAGCCCCATCACTGTTGTCACTTCACAGATGTCCCCCGCGTCTTTGTTGTCTTTTGTATCAGTTGTGCATGTGGACTAAAAGGGGTCTGAAATGATTTACCACGGACCAAACTTGAATGCCTTTATGCTCCAGTCCATATAATGCATGCATTCGAGCCCGGGCCGCTGCGTGGACTGTGTGCGTAAAACAGGAGAAGAAGATCCAAAGGCAAAACTTGAAAAATAGAAAATGAAACGGAGGAAAAATGATGAAAGCAAGGGAGTCGAGGTAGTTCTTTTGTTTCATAAGGAGCTATCCAGGCGTGATGAGTTTAATTATTTGTGTCTTAAGGTTTAGGAACATGTGGCTAAATTAAGTAAAAGAGCAAAAGGTGCTTATTTTGTAGTTGTTGCCATACTAATCTGCTCTACTCATTTTTTTTTTTTTTTTTTTTATTGGCAGAAGTGTTCACTCATTTTTAACTATTGTTGGTTTGTGGTCAAAATGTTGCTGCTATAAATTCTCCCAAAGGCTTTAAGTTTTTATAGAAATAAGGGATAAAGGAGGATGTTTGCATTTCCCTGGAAACTTTCAGCTGGCTGAACCATGTCTCAGAGATCAGAGAGCTCGGCCTAACTGCTGAAATGACAAACTTGAGATATCGGCAAGGCCATCAGACTGTGGCCGGGTCAGACATCAGAACCAAGCCATGGGTTTGTTGACAGCACAGCTGGCTTGTGTGTCTCACTTCGCTTCACTTTCCAGAGGGTTAGAACTCAGTGACCAGAACGATCACCGTTGACCTCCTCTACAGCCGGCCATAACCCCGGAACAACCACCATTAAACCATACAGTGATCAGTATTAACCCTTTGTAGCCTTATAGGTTCCTAAACTGCTGTTCACAAATCAAATTGTTCCATACTTAATTGGCTGAGAGATGAAAGTTAGACCCTATGTGACGTGTTCAGAGTGGGCACGTTTTTATACTTTGCTTTGTTCCCTCTTAGTCCCTTTCGCAGCCTCGAAAAAGCTCTTCGGAACATGGGTCCATGGACCGGGGGTGGGGCTCTATTGTGTTGACTTGCCCAGAGCCCCTTTTGTTTCTTGGTCACACCTGCAGCACAGGCTCTTTGTGCTCTATAATAGTAGAACTACTGCTGAGAACAGCCTTTCTCCTGTTTCACTCCTCCTCTCACCAAGGTAGAGAACAAAAGGGAGGGAAGCACGGTTTAGGGTGGCACAGCCTTCTCCTTCAGCCAGATCTCTGAAGCAACAAGTCCAACCAAGCCCCTCAGAAGGGATCCTTAGGTAAACAGCCTGTGATTAGGGGGTGCTTGTTATTACTCAAGTGGGGAAAAGGAGTATTAATCATTTGTGGGCATGTCTGGGAGCTGCTCTAATCATCTGGCTGGCTCAATCTCCTGTGTGGCTGCATCTTGATTACTTTCCAAGGGCCACAGTTGAGTTTTAACAGCCGTGTCACTGGATGCATGTGGGTTTGAAACAGACAGTCATACATGGACAGGTGATGGTGCAGAAATACAGGTTCGGTCACGATAGGAGCCAATCATTAGAAAACTGACACGGCAAAGATGCATTACATGATATAATGTTAGGTAATCTACTATGGCATGATATTAAAGTTATACGAAGGGCAAAAATGCCCTTGTAAATACAAAAATCACTGTGGGTAATAAGTGTGTGTGTTTTCATCAGGATTCAAATTTATGGCGTCCAATTAGCCAAATAGCTCTCCTTCCATCTCTGTCCACCATTTTCCGTCTGTAAGTTTCTTCGCCACCATGAGTCAGTTCACTTAATTTTACTTCAACCTCATTCATTGATAAGTGCCAACACAAGGAGTCATGAAGTAGTCACTCTGGAAGGTCAATTCGCCATTCAAAGTGGCCGCAATTGCCAACAGCGCCTCGATAAATCAGTCACAAGAGGAATCAAAGCCGTATATAGCAGCACAAAATTTTGTTCCACCGCAGTTTAGACAAACAGAGTTAAATAATTTAACTTTGTAAAAAATAAAATAAAAAAAGAACTCCCGGGTCATCCGATTTCCCGTTGTGCAAGATGACAAGTCAGGCAGCCTCAAGCAGCAGCAGCAGCCTTTTGTTCTGCTGGGATTACATCCGCCCTTCACATTCACACGCAATTACAAAATCCTCACGCACTACTGTTGTTTGCTATCCTTTTACTATCCCCAAATTCTCCCAGTAGGACCTCCCTGCAAAAACACATTCATCCAGTGCTGCAATTGAGGAGATTTTATGGCTTACGTACTGTATGCCAACGAAAGCACAGCTAAGAGGAGGGTATGTGTTAATCTGTCATTTTAAGCTAAAGGAGCACTAAAGCGTCCCCTGTAACTACCAGAATTGGGCTACAGACCCCTACACCCACCATCAGCAGAAATGGCAGTCCACTCGATTCCCCTCCTCCTCCTCCCCCCATGTTTAACACCATGGGTTTGAGCCAAAAACATCAGCAGGGAAAGTGCGTGGTTGTAGGACACTGCAAAGCCTGTAATAACAGAGGTAGAGTAAGGCAAGATTGAATGGCAGTGAGATGCGTGACAAGCCCAGCGTCTCCAGGCTTGTTGAGGCCTATATGTGTGCATACACACACACACATGCACACGCAGGAGGGCAGGAGCCAGAGAGCGTAAAGGAATAGTCAATAGAAAACATGCTGGGCTCGCTAGAGATTGAGAAGTAATTTTAGATCACTGACCTCTGAATGTCTTCTGTTTCTGTTTTACATTAAAGTTTCTGAGGGAAGCCTTTGCCTTCCACATCAAGGCTATTACCATGCAAGGAATCATGGGAGATTGGCACTGAGCTTTTCGCCCTTCCTTAGAGTGTTTTTTTCCCCCCTTCTTTTCATCTGAATTGTTTAGTGGGGGAGAATGGTACAGGGGCAAAAGTGGCATGAATGTGAGTGCTTCTGAAGAGCTCGTGTTAAGCAGGAGTGTAAAATTCTGACAGGTAAGGAAACCATTTACCTGTGAATACAGCCAGGTTTTTGGCCACAGGTACAGCCTGCAGTGTGTACGATAGCGCTATAGAATTGAAACATGGAGCTCGGTTTATTTACTTTCACAGGGCCTCTATTTTTCAGCCGTCGAGTATTTGGTATCTATTTCTGTCTCCGGCTTCTAGAAATTCAGCTATTTATTGCCTGCGTTTTAACGCAGCAGATTTCCTGGTGTGAGAGGCGTCTGAATGAGGAAGTAAAAAAGAAAAAGAAAAAAAGCTGTGATGCTTTTAAGGATTTTCAGAGTCGCGTCATCAGTCCTCGTTAGGATCAAGTTTCTTACATTTGCTGCTCCGCACAGATCGGGGAAACTGCATCCATAGATCTGTGGATGGGTTCTGCCCAGTGATTCATTTGTGACTACAGTAGAATTACTGCCTGCTTTAACATTATTGATGTTTGTAGTTATAGAGAGAGCAAACAACCCTTTTGGTCCTCATAAAATCTTCCCTTTTCCCCCTTTTTTTGCCAAAACATCAAACCCGTAATTTAACCACTAAGTGGACTAATTGAGATTAAGCGTTGTCTCATCCATGCCTCACATTATCCAGTCATAATGACATTGCTCTTTGAAAGGCCTCAGTATCCCACAGAGTCCTGAATAGCCATGATTACACACTGGTGATGATTAAAACATGTTGGCATTACCCCGATTCCATCTCACCACTACTTTCATTCTTTTTAGTGACATGCCATCACACAGTAGCTGTTTAGACCAAAATTGGATTATTAATGGACGCACACACACAGCATACTTTACATCAACATGCTGGCACAAAGGTTGTGCAACAAATTAGTTATGCCATCTACATTCTAACAAAAAGATGACATGCCGATTGTTGCTGTCAGGTAAACACCTCGCGGCGGCTCATTTTCTACTTGACAGCCATGTTTGCTTATAATTAATTCACTTAACAGCCATATGCATTGTAGTTTATTTAGTGTTTTTAAACTAAGCTTCTGGACATTTTTTCATAAGCTTGAGGCTCTTCAAAAAATTTCAAGATGAAAGTGGCTCGATTTATAGTTACAGATATGGAGAAGTCCATGGATTGCCTTCTCTGGCTGCTGATCTGCCATGTTTCCTGTGTGGATCAATCAAAGCACTAATGGCTTGGCAGGCAGGGCTCACAGACAGCACTGGAGCAGGTGTGCTTTGGGGCTAATTGAAAAATGAGTCAATAGTGTGTGTGTGTGTGTGTGCGCACATGTGTGCGTTCGCGTGCAACACACACATCAGTCTTTGCATTACACCATTTGAAAGAGTGATTACGTATGTGCAGTCGCGTGTGTGCGCATCCAAGTGCGCTCCTGGCTAATCCATCCCTCTGCCTGTGTGACGTCTCCCAGTAAATTGTTTATATCCGTTCAGGCTTTGCCTGCATGAATAATTTGTTTGCCTTATAAATATTTGAATGTACACCGATCATTAATATGCACAGACACAGTCTGTCTCTAAAGTACTCCTTCAGACACTAACATACACACTAAACCCCTGCCACTCCCACAATAAATTATTGCCAAAGTAACTGCTGGTGTATCATGTCTACAATCAGATCCTGTACAAGCTTTTATCCACAAAAATTACTACAATGTCAAAACAGCTGTACATGAGTAGGAGCTCATAATACAAGTATGAGTGAATCACTGCGCTGCAATAAAGCACACCGACCCCAAGGAAAAGCTCGAGCAATAACCACAACTAGAGCGCTGATAGAGGTGTGCTAAGGTTAGAGCAGAGGCTACACTTGTGATGATGATGAAGTTGCAATGTGCTGATTAGTGTTGAGCCTGGCCCAGTACAAACCAATCAGAGCACAGATGTACTGAGACAGCAGGCCTGCCACGTTTCTAACAGAGTCGACTTCCGCTCTTTGCAACACACACCGAGACACCCCACCGGTCAGTTGGCTGACCTTCCCTTAGGCAACAGATGCAGGAAAAGGTAGAGGGGAAGTGCCAAGCGCTGGCACTGAGAGCTCAGTCATCAATAAACACGAGAGCGTTTTACTGTATGTTTGCATCACAAAAGCTTGAAAAAGAGACAGTTGTTGCTCCGAGTTTAACAAAAGGTTTGGACTCGGTTCGCGTAGTTCACAGCGGTACAAAAGATTATATTTAGCACATGTCAAGTAACGAGAGCATGTCATTTTTTTTGTGTGTGTTTCCAGGTAACATCTCCACCAGTGTGAAACAGGAAGTGTCGTCTGTGAGCAGACATGGGCCAGAAAGCTGTGCTTCTGCTCAGTGAGCTGCTGCTGCTGCTACTGACAGTCTCGCGCACTCTCCTCGCAGTCAGCTTCCCGGAGGACATCGTACCCCTCGATGTCGTTGACGCGCACTGTGAGTAAACCCGTAAATGAGCTCAACAGAGACCGGGTTGAGATTATAATTACTCGAATGTCACTCAAAAATAGAAATAAAATAATGACAATCCCCATGTAAACCTTTTACTTGCTCCACTCAGAATATTGTTACAAAAACTTAAGACACACACTAGCGCCTCCTCCCTCTCATCGGGTCCATACTTTAGACGCTAGCATCCACCGTAATAAAATCAATCTGCTGTGATGTAATGGAATAACAGAGTGGTATGCTGGCAAAGGCAGCCGTTATCGAACACACAAAAACATTACAATGACGCACAGGTCTGATTGGAGAGACTGTAGTTGAGTCTACGTACACATAATTCCCATATCTAACTATATGTTCAATCAGAACAGGGTGGTTTATCAGCATATCACTGTTTGCTTTTACCAGTAGCCTCCCGTTAATAGCACATGTTTGTTGTCACTGCAGTTTCACGGCGGTACCCTGTATTCAGAGGCAGGCCCTCTGGCAACGAGTCCCAGCATCGCCTTGACTTTCAGCTGATGACCACGATACAGGACACTCTGTTCATCGCTGGCAGGTAAATCCAACACACACACACATACACACACCTCTCCCCCTCACCAATATACTCAGTCACTCCTTGGCAGGTAAACAGTGGCATAAAGGGGTGGGATGCGGGAAGGGTGAGCTCTTAGCGTTATTGGATCTCTGGCTTCTGGTCGTGCATCTGATGTATATGGCTGGTATTGATCCAGTAAAGGCATCTATCTTCCCGGCCTGACGCGCTGTCAGGGATTTCTTGGCATCTTTACATTTCTTTTTGCTATTTATGGGCAGTGGGATTAATCTGACCACTAGCACTACTGTAATATTGTAGCAGGAAATCACTTTGACATCTAACAGTATAACACCTTCCCCCTCTGGAGCCCCTGTAATCACCACCACATGTATCTGTGTTGTTAGATGGTATGCTAGAAATGTGCATGTTTTTACTGAAAGTGAAGTGAAATTGTGTTGTGCATTTGTTGTCAAGATTATTCATTTATTTATTCTATAGTAAATGAGGCCTTCTAATGATAAGGACACAAAATATTCTCATAATTGGGAGAATAATAAAATACTTTGATTAATGTACACACACAAAGACCCAGTAAGTAACAATATATTCTTGTTGTCACTGAGCTGCATGTTTTGTTGTTCGTCCACAGAGATCAGGTGTACCTAGTCAGCCTGAGAGAATCCTACAGGAATGAGATCATTCCTTACCGGGTAAGATTCACACAAGTTGCTCTCGCAATCCACAAATACTGAAAGGGCTTCATAGAAAATACTGAACCATTCATCACAGAGTGGACAGGTGGTAAAATGAGAGAGTGGAAAAAGTGTGTGCCTGCGTGTTATGTCGCACGCATGTGTCTGATACCTCATGATGTTGTTCTTTTTCTTCTTCTCTTTTTTTACAGAAATTAACATGGCGATCGGGCCAAGCTGACAGAGAGATGTGTGCTGTGAAGGGAAAACACAGAGTAAGTAGGGGGGAAAAATCATTAAAAATCACTTTTTGTTTGGTCACCCGTGTCACCCATGACACGGACAGAAAGTTAAACTACAAACCTCTGAAAACACAATTTAATGTTGTGCATTTTCCTCCAGGACGAGTGCCACAACTTCATCAAAGTTCTGGTTCCAAGAAATGATGACCTGGTGTTCATCTGTGGTACTAATGGCTTCAATCCAATGTGCAGATACTACAGGGTCAGTATTCAGGGTCAGAGCCTGTGATTCATTAGGCAAAGCTCATGCAGGCTGTGTACAACAGCATGCAGTGGTCCTTCGTTTACTGCAGGAGTTACGTTCTAAAAAAAAACCTGCGATAGATGAAATCTGTGAAGTAGCCAACTTTATTTTTTACAATTATTATAGTTGCTTTAAGGCTGTAAAACCCCTCACAACACACTTTATACCCTTTTCTCAGACAGGCACGAACATTTTCACACTTTTTCTCTCTTGTTTAAACACTCTCAGTTCAAACCTTCGTAGAAAAATAAATCCAGTATTATAGAATGAAGTCAAAGGCAGCCTTTGACGGTGCAAAACGTTTCATCGACATTGTTGTATTCGTTGTTGAGAACAATTACGAACATACAGTACAGCACTTCAGAGTCACACTGGTAGCGATCAAAGATTTATGTAAATTTGACAAGCTGAATGCATTCTGTACTGTACAGGAGACGCGGCATGAGATTGATTGACAGTCTACAGCCAATCAGGACGCAGAACACTGCGTAGTAAAAAAGGGAAGAAAAATAACCCATGCAAAATTGTACCAAAAAAAAAATCTGCGAAACAGCGAGGCTGCGAAAAGTGAACCACGTTATAGGGAGGGACCACTGTACACCAAATGTGGACTGTTACTAGATAAACAGCAATGTTTTACTTCCTGTACTATCTTTTTTTTTAAATAAATTTGACAAGATTCCTTTCAGTGATTTATGTGTGCACCAGTGCTTCTGTGTGTGTGATTGTTTGCACCGTGCCTCTTGAGAAAGCTCTTTTTAATGTGTGGGTGATCGCTCCGTTCCCTTCAGCTGGATAACCTAGAGTTTGATGGGGAAGAGATCAATGGACTGGCACGGTGCCCATTTGACTCCAAGCAAACCAACGTTGCCCTTTTCGCTGGTAAGGGTCAAGCACACACCCGCCCACGCACGCAGTTCATCTCGCCAAAGAACAACTAATGTGTTCCTACTTACGCTCTCATTATCACCCCTGTGTCTTTGCCACGGTAAAACTGGGCCTGCAGCGCTAGCAACTCGGCCAATTAAGCTCTATAAAAGAAGACAAAACAACAAACGATCCAAGAGCAGCGCATCCTACTTTTTGGTGACTGTGTTTCCTTCTTGTTTTTGTTCTTAGAAGGGAAGCTGTATTCTGCAACTGTAGCTGACTTCCAGGCCAGCGATTCTGTCATCTATCGGAGTATGGGTGATGGATCAGCCTTGAGAACCATCAAGTATGACTCCAAATGGCTGAAAGGTAATCCTTGTTTCTCTCTCCTCTTACTTCACTTAAGATACATGTGTCTACCTGCCAGCTAGCTCGATGCTCATGGTGCCTTTGCGTGGTATATGTATGTGCGCTGGCTGTCAGGGTTGTTTTTGGAGTGATAGAGAGCTTCCCTGCCTTGCCAAGCTCTAGGAGGATATGGCCTGTTCTCTCACAGGCAATCTAGGTCACCCCCAGTCATATACAGCCTTGTACAAATCCCTGAAATATTCAACATGCACAGTGGTGGTGACAGTGCAGAAATACACTTCAACTCTCTGCCTCTGTCTCTCTTTCAGAACCTCATTTCCTGCATGCTGCAGAGTATGGGAATTATGTGTACTTTTTCTACCGGGAGATCGCGGTGGAGCACAGCAATCTGGGAAAGGTAAGACCGTGCACCTGCCGTTTATAATGCATCACGTATTCCACACACAGCATATGCAGGCCTTTATCCAAGACTACAGCTTTACGCCTCCCTCAGTGCCTGCGTTTCTGCCACAAATGGGCCCGGTGGTAATGGGGGCCCATTCAGGCGCTGACACTATATCACATTAGAATACCCGAGAAATTTCACGACAAGTGTTTGGTAGGGATGTTCTACTAACGTAAAACCATTACACAGTGGTGAGGATTTGTCTCACAGAGATTGCACGCTTTTGTGTACGCCTCTCCCTGTGAGGCACACACACGCAGATGGCATTATAAATGTCCCATGTTTGAAGCCAACCTCAGATTTGACCATGCCTCATCCTGAGCTGGCCGGGCCACAGGAAGCCGGCATCCTCCATCAGCCACCAGCTTATGAATATTTCAACCCAACTAATGCTGGGGTGACACCTGGGCTCTGATGGAGGTTTGCACTGGTAAATAATTAAAGCTATCCAAGCTAACTGCTTTATCATACTTGATTTATGCTTTAAGCCTTGGCAGTATGTGCAGTCCAACACACTTACACATGGCCCAGCTTTAAGTCAGTATAGGCCCATTGCAAGTGTTTGTTTGTTTTTTTTCTTTCTTTTTTTTTTAAATATTTGCTCCAGTCAGAGTGAACAAGTTAAATATGAGAGAGTCTGTTTAAGTCATCTGTGCTGAGTTGCTACAGGATGGGGAGATGCATTATTCAGCATGTTGAAGTGTTTTTAGTGGCATTCACTGAGATGCCCTCCTCATCTGCACGCCTCAGTCCTCTCTGGGAAAAACAACAACAACAACAAAAAAACCTCTGCACCTCACAGGTTGTGTATTCCCGCGTGGCCCGAATCTGTAAAAATGACGTGGGTGGGTCACAGAGGGTGCTGGAGAAGCACTGGACCTCTTTCGTGAAGGCGAGGCTGAACTGCTCCGTGCCGGGGGAGTCCTTCTTCTACTTTGATGTGCTCCAGTCCATCACCGACATCATCGACATTAACGGGGTTCCCTCTGTGGTGGGCGTGTTCACCACGCAGATGAACAGGTGAGCCGTAGCTGCCGTTGCTGCAGGAGGAATTAAGAGTTCAAACAAACAGGGGATTTTATCTAGATATTTTTCCTTTTCTGCAGTATTCCAGGGTCAGCGGTGTGTGCCTTCTCCATGGCTGATATAGAAAAAGTATTCTTGGGCCGGTTCAAGGAGCAGAAGACCCCTGACTCTGTGTGGACTCCGTTCCCAGAGGAGAAGTTACCCAAACCTCGGTAACGGTTCATCTTTTCTCTTCCTCAGAATAATATCCAAATTCTGAACCTTGCTAAGCACGTGGAACCAAGAAACTAAACTAAGAGGGCGATGTCCAAAGATGTTTTTTTTTTTTTTTTTTTTTGTTTTTTTTTTAAACGTGGTGCTGGACTCGTCAGCTGTTTACCGCCTGTCATTTTTCACCTTGTCTTAACCCTTCTTTGTCCAGGTTAAACCCAGTGAAATGAAATCTTTTGCACCAGGTTATTAGTTTTGACCCAACACACACATTTACCATCTGCTGACGATTAAATAATTAATTTAGTATAATTAGATGCGCTGCATATTTAACCTGTTTACAGTCAGCGCCTATATTTGCAGCCCTGCGTACAAAACACAGAGTCCACGAAGCACGTAATTACCCCAGTAAATCATTTATGGGAGGATAACCATGCATATGTATATTTTATGCCTCCAGCTGAGGTCTTTTTGTGATCCTAATAAGCACCTGCTACTCTCCCCCACCCTCTCGTGGCACTTTTCCATCCATCTCAGAACACATTATTATTACTCCCTGGTGTGCGATCATATAGGCTGATCTTTGACCTTTTGCCCTCCGTGCAATGGCACTCTCTATCCTAGACCCGGGAGCTGTGCAGGTCACGGTCCAGCTGCGTCCTTTAAGAGCTCCGTCGAGTTCCCGGACGATACCCTGCAGTTCATCAAGTCCCACCCCCTCATGGACACAGCTGTGCCTTCTATAGGAGATGAGCCTTGGTTCACCAAGACACGGGTCAGGTAAACGCATAAAGAGCATATATCTTACATTTGAAACTTGTGATTTCAGATCATACCTTTTATTGGAAGGATAACCAAGTAAAGTCTTCCTAAAAATAAAAAGTAATCAAAAATCTTGCCAAGATCTTTTACGACCCATATCTATATCATAGCTGAACATTTGTTGTGAATCTGTTGGTATTTTTCAAATGTGGATGAAGTAAGTCCTTCAGTGGAAAATTGGTAAATAGTATCCATAGATGACACAAAGATATAAAACAGGCCTTACCTATGTTGATCAGTGAGCATATGGGATATGTGTATTCAAATAGTCTTTCCTATTTTGCATGAAATAACCCCTGCTGTGAGTAACACATGCCTTCTGCTACGTATAAAGGTACAGGCTGACAGCGCTGGCTGTGGACAGTGAAGCAGGACCCCACAAGAACTACACAGTGGTGTTCATCGGGGCTGAGTCGGGGGTCGTCCTCAAGGTTTTAGCCAAGACCTCCACCGTGTCTCTGAATGACAGCCTGCTCCTGGAGGAAATAGACATCTTCAACAGGGCCAAGTAGGCACACATGCACTTTTCACCCTCTCTCTGCCTGCTCCCTCTTCTCGTTTCCTCTTCCCCTTCTGTGTTTTGGCTGTGGAGTCAGCAACTCTTACAGTGATGATTCCTGGCACAGATGGCAGTGTCTGTCAGCTTTGTGCTCACGTGCATGTGTGTGTGTTTTTGTTTTGCTGTGTTTTTGTGTTTTTTGAGTCTGGTGTGTGTGTGATTTTATTTTTATTTTTTTTTGGAAGCTAAAATGCACACTGCCAGGAGTCAGGGGTTAAATTCTTGTTAAACTGTAAGAAGAAGCTTCTGTGAGTCGTCAACCTAACAAGTGATTAAATCTTCCGAGACTGAAACAGGAGACAGACGGGTCTGATAGACCTCTGATTAGGTTTCTCTCCACCCTGTCCAGGTGCCTGTCTAACCGTGAGGATGACAAGCGTGTCCTCTCGCTGCATGTGGACAAAGACGCACACAGCCTTTATGTCGCCTTTTCAAGCTGTGTCATCCGTATTCCCCTGAGCCGCTGTGAAAGGCATTCCTCCTGCCACAAGTAAGTGATGCACTACTGCACACGTAGGAGGTTAAATAAAAATGTCCTTTGTACAGCCAGTCATAGCTTTATTGTTTTGTTCTTCGGCTAAATGTCATAAAAGCAACGATAACAGCTTTACCCTGTGCCTTGTGGTTAATGTTCAGTCAGTCACAAGTGATTATAGCGTTCTTTCCAGAATGATTAAACCTGGCGTTCTGGTGTGTGTGTGTGTGTGTGTGTTTGTGTGTGTGTACGTTTTTGCCATACCAGGTCCTGCATTGCATCAAGGGATCCTTATTGTGGCTGGAAGCCTCACGGAGCCTGTGAGAGGATACAGCCGGGTGTTTTGTGAGTTCACAGCCCACCTGCAATATGAAGCACAAATATTACAGATGAGAAAATGACAAGAATATTTATTTATTTTTTGTTGTCGCTGCTATTTTGGATTAATATCTGTTTCTATCTGTCTTTCTCTCTCTCTCTTTTCAGGGCTGGATATGAGCAGGATGTTGAATTTGGAAACACGGCCCACCTCGGAGACTGTCAAGGTATCGATCTCATCTCCATGCCATGCTATTTGTCCTCAGACATATACAAACACACACATGCAGCTATACACACACTGTACACAAACTCATCTCTGCATACACCATGAGCCTGCACACTCACATCAGTAACCACTCCAGTAACTTGCCCCTACATTAGTCTTACGTGCAGTATTAACACACATATCTACATAGAGTACATGGCCACCTGTAACTAATACCGCCCGTGAGGCGGAAACATGGACATGTACAATTGAGGGTCATGTTCAGCCGGTGCAAATGACAGAGGTCTTGTGATATGTCACGACTAGAAAATGTACATTGACTGATTTCACTGCACCTGTCCCTTCATATGTATCAGCTAAACATGACCCATGGCTGAACCACAGTATTGATCAGAACCAGAGTGCCTCCAGTAAAAAAAATGACACTGCTGGCCGAGTGCTTAATATACTTCCTGTTAAAACCTAAACTAAGCTGCACTCTTAGTGTCTCTCAGGAGTTTTATTTTTCTTTTCTTTTAATTTTCAGAGTTTCCTTATAATGATTTCTTGTCCCTTTTAATTCTTTTAGCATTTTTGGGCACTACTTCAGCGCCAGATTACAAATCATTTGGCGATCCTACCTCTGGTTAGTTTGATCTTTTACTCAAATGGTTTCTTTCCTTGAGTTCAGCATCTCCTGCCTTTTTCTTTCAACCCCTGCTTCCCTTCATCTTTTCGTATCAAACACCTCTCGAATGCTAATATTCCCTGTGTTCATTTTCATCGCCATCAATAACCGAACCACCAGGCAACATCAGCACTCTAACTGGGCGACGATTGACTTCCTCCTTTTCACCCATCACCTCCTGTTCTGATCCATCCTCCCTCTTGCATGTCTACTCCACTATACCTTGGCAACCTTCCTGTTGTGTACCAACTCCTCTTTTAACCATCACTTATTTCCTTTTTAAATTGTCTTCAAAATGTACATTTATTGGTATTTGAAAACACAATCATTTAAACTGTGATAAAGTTTACTCTTTTGTTTTTCCATACACTCTACCGATGCCTACTAACTGGGATGATAACAGTATGCTTTTCACTCGTCTGCACAGTTTAACAGTTTGTTTGTCACCACAGACATGGAGTTTTCATCAGCGCCAGTCACTATCCAGCCCAGTGGGCCCATACACCCCCCAGTACTCATACCCAGTCAGAGCCCCAGCTCTGGGCCTGATCCAGAGCTCTACGGCTCACGCTTTGTGCTGCAGGATGACCCAGCCACCTCCAGTTCTTTAGACTCTATCCCAGGGGGCCAAGAGGGTAAGGCCCACAGGGAGGCAGCCAGCATGCTGCATTGAGCCTGATCTGATAGCTGCCAGGAAATGTCACTAAGCCACGCTAATGTGAAAGTACACATATATGCAAACACACTGTGGTTGCTAATACGGTTTTCCCTTAGATAGCATGGCAGATATTAGTCTTTTCATTAAACATTTATATTATGATTAATATTTTATTTTCATAATAACTTTTTTCTTTACTTAAATGGTAATTTCCTTCATCTTCTTTCTTTCTTTTACGCAACACTGCTCTAACGTAGTTTCTTTAAAAGCTCTTGTTAGGAATGGCCTCTTGCAGGTTAGACTTTCTAACCCTAGTTCTAGTAATAGATTACCCTGGCTGGTAAATCATTGACTGGACCAGCTCTGCCACATCATGGCCGCACGGTGGATGACTAACTCTTTCAATGTCTGTGGTTACTAACAAACTTTCTGTAGAGCAGCAGCTATCTGAACACCTGGATGGCAAACACTTTCCTCTGATCAATTTCCTGCTGGTTGATCTCCTGCGGGAAGAGATTGACTTGGCTCTCTATCTGAGATAAGAGCGCACTCCTAACCCTTTAGTGCTGGATGCATGACAAAAAGTGTCTTGGAACGTGGGACAAGGCCACACTTTGAGTCTTCCCGGCTGAACTAACATAGCATTTCCTCTTAAAGAAGGACAAATTGGGTGTGGGTACATAACAGCTTCTTCACCATATTTCTTCTTCATCTTAGATTAGGATGAATGTAACAATATTTGTGGTTAACTACGTTGTATGGTGGAGGTTGAAAAGCAGAAGCTTAAGCATGGCTGTGTTCACACAATACTGTATCATTTCTGCTGTGGGTACACGTCACGGAGTCGTTTCGCCAGAGGGTTAACTGATGCCTCACTGTTTTGTAGGTGTGTGGGATATACAAGCTGGTGAGACCAACCAGATGGTCCACATGAACATCCTGATCACCTGCGTGTTTGCTGCTTTTCTCATGGGTGCCCTACTGGCGGGTTTAATTGTGTTCTGCTACCGAGACTCATTCCTCCGTAAACCAAGACATGTCCACAAGGATGCAGAGTCTGCACCATCTTGCTCTGATTCCACTGGAAGCTTTGTCAAGCTCAATGGCCTCTTCGATAGCCCTGTAAAGGTACAGCCAAACTACAAACTAAAAAGCAGCTTCAATCATACCGCTTTTGTGGAGAAGAGTCATTGAACAAGATGTGAAACTGTCTAATCTTACTCTTGGTTTTATTATCACATTCTTAGGAGTACCAAACCAACAATGATTCTCCGAAGTTGTACACCAATCTTCTCAGCACTGGCAAAGACCTGAACGCGCCCAACGGTGACACTAAAACCGTCATCTTGCGGGATGGATGTCAGCCCCCCGAGTTGGCTGCTCTGCCCACACCAGAGTCTACCCCTGTGCTTCAGCAGAAAGGTCTACAGCCCATTAAAAACCAGTGGGAGAGGGCACATGGGAAGGTCAGTGGGTCCCGTAAGGAGTCCAACTCATCTGCCAAGAGTCCTCAGTTCCTTCCTTCTTCTCCTACTCCTGCTAACTCTAGCTCCCACCACCCTCACCTCGCCCTGGGACACTCGCACATCCCAAGCGCCGTGGTCTTGCCCAACGCTACACATGACCACCCCAGCCATGACAATGGGGAAGATACACTACCACATTCATCTGAAAAGAAGCTTAAGAACCCAGATTCTAAAGGAGCTAAGAAAGACCAGAAGAGGTCTGTGGATGCCAGAAATACCCTAAATGACCTTTTAAAACACCTCAATGACTCTGTGGCCAACCCCAAGGCCATTCTTCAAGAGGGATCAGTACCCCGCCCGAGGCAGCACCTCACACTCGAGCCCATGGAGGAACTGACTGAAATACCCCCCAAGGTGCCCAGTCGAGAAGCTTCCTTGTACTCTCCCTCCTCCTCCCTGCCGAGGCACAGCCCCACCAAGAGGGTTGATGTGCCCATGCCCACTACACCAACGGGAAGCCTGAGCATGGGGGGCACCCTGGAGAGGCAAAGAGGGGGGTACCAACTCCAGCGGAGTGCATCTCACAGGCACTCCTTATCCACCTCACCAAATGGGGTAACCATGGGGGTGTCTGTGTCTCGCCAACACAGTATGAACAGAGGGGGTTACATGCCTCCGACACCCCCCTCCAGACTTGATTCACATGGTGGAGTTATGGCACCAGGAATGCATTCAGCCCACCCACCCTCAGTATCCAGCTACAGTGGGCATGGCTCACTTCCTCGCACCGGGCTTAAACGGACCCCTTCAATAAAGCCAGATGTGCCGCCTAAACCCAATGGGTTTTCACCACAGACTCCACAAATGCGAGTAGTCAACAAGTACAGCTATTAAAAGACCATGGACACTTCAAAGTGAGTTCTTGGCCTTGACTGTAGAGCTTTGAGCCCTGAGGGCTTGGGGGGAGGGAGTACAGATGGGATAAGGCCTAGTGTGTGTTTGTGTATCAACTTGAGGTGTATTTCCCCTTTAAATGATATGCACATTCACTCACACTAAAACCAGAAAGTCATACATATGGCCAAAGATACTCGTTGGGGCCTCTTTGCAACCCTGCAAGCCAACCTCCCTCCCTTGCCACAGTAGCCACAGGATATGATCAGTGGACAGTGGTGAATCTGCTGCTGCCCAGTGTATCTGGGCTTAGGTCTCACCCGTTACCACATTTGGAGCGAGGTTTAGGACACCAGCAGAGGTCACGATGGTGTATGTGGGACCAGGTCAAAAAAAACAGTGGAATACTTGAAGAATGGGTCTCATTTGTCACTCCCCTTGAGCACTGTCTTCCCACTAATGTGAAGTGAACGGAGAGAAGCCAGAGGCCATAGCTTTGGCTGTAAGATGGCATAAGGCAGATGGAGGGGAAGATCAAAACGTATAGCGCGTGTGTTGTTTTAAGATACACGTGGCCGTAAACAGCTGATCAAAACTGTAAGAAAAGAGAAAGTGTGTGTGTGTGTGTGTGTGTGTGTGTGTGTTGGCTGACAGGAAAGCAGATTTGTGTAAATGCAGCAAATATATTAGTGCCACTTGCCCAAGAATGCACCTTAAGACATTTAAGACCTAAGTCACTGTCTTTCATTAAAACAACATATTTTCTTTGATCTTCTTTAAACCCCCCCTGGACAGAGCTGAGGTCATACCTCTTTGTCACTGTTGTGTACTTAGTAATTAGATTAGGTTGTGGCGAATTGGTCATGCTGGCTGTACACAGAAATGGCCAACTCAAATTTTGCTCACTGGTTTGTGCTATTGATTTCAGATATAGGAGTTTTCCCTGATGCATGTATTCCCCCTACCAGTCGAGGATAGCCTGTGACATGGGTGTGCACATCTGCGTGTGTGTGTGTGTGTGTGTGTGTGTGTGTGTGTGTGTTGTGTTGCAGACAGAGGCCAAGGAGTAGTTTTAAGCAACCAAACGCACTGATACATGAAATAAGATGTCTCTCTCTCTGGGACTGAAACTTCCTCTAACCTCCACTGCCCCTTTGTAAGAATTCAAGAGTGGTTCAAGAGTCTTCTGTCTTTATGTAGCAATGGTATTAAAAGAAAATGCAATTTTTCATCTCATTCTGTAACTGGGTTTCCAACAAAATGACTTGCTTTTATAATCTTTTACTATTTTATTTAAAGAATTTACCATTTTGAAACTAAAGCAACACCAATGGTTTAGCCCATATATTTGAATTCCACATTTCAAGGCAGGTTTATTCTGTTAAATGTCTGTGTGTGCGTGTCCCCTGATAGAAGAATGCTAGTTTTTTCCTCCCACTTTAAATCCTATTTGCGACATATTTAACTGAACCTAGAACAATACGTGGATGTACCATCTTTGTCATCTGTCCAGTTCTGCAGCCCATGTTCCCTGTGCAGATTTTCTTGCGAGTGGCCCCGTGTACAATCAACACTACATTTATCAATGTGTCCAAATGAGTCATGCTGGGAATGACAAGATACTGTATATACTAAAAAAATACTATAAATAAGGAGTATAAATATTTTTAGGCAAGTGAACCCGAATCTGTGCGTTGTGTGCCTTATTCACGAATACAGTATATAATATTGGCAACGTCAATTGGTCCTCTGTATGTTATGTCATATGCTCGCTATATGAGTGATTTTTACATAAGCAAATTGAAATTTTAGCAGGATGCGCGTCGGAAATCTAAACTGAAGCGATACTGAAAACACACTGACAAACATTCCATTTGTGGATGCGAGTCACACAAAGGGAAAGCAAAAACACCTACTGGGATATAAATCAGTTCGTTCCTCCTTTACTGCCGGTGTTGAAATGAGTGGTGTTAATCCACCAGGTAAAGGTGCCATGCAGTGAATGTATTTTTCTTGAACGTGGGATGTAGGTAGGGTGGTGAGACCTTGCACTGTGGAGCAGTCAGCTCAACGCAGCATATCCTGCCCACAGCCGATGTATTAAAACAGTGTTCACACAAAAGCCGTCTTTTGGCATGGCCGCCCGGAATCTGTAATTCCCCCAGGATTGAAGGACAGGAATTGTTTCTATTGGCCGGCAGTGACGACCAAGGGATCATTTCTCGTTAGCAGTGGGTACTTATTTTTAATTTTTTTTTCTTTTGTGAGGGCGGGGGGTGAATTCTGAAATCTCATTCGAGTGTCAGTTGCCTGTTCAAGCCCAAAGCCACATTTTGTTTACAAGTGATGATTGTATGTAAAGACTTTCTGCCTGTCATCGAACCAGAGTCTGGGCTGTCTCTTTTCTACTCGACACATGCACACTGACATCACAGACACACACTCAGCATACACTGTTCAACTGCCTTGTACATTGCAATATGAACTGGGTCTTTCAGTTGCAATCTAAATTGAAGCCTTTATATTTCAGTCTGGTGTACGTGCAGATGAACCAGATTTTGTCATGTAATTCTAATTTAAATACTGTGCAACGTGGCGATGAGAGGCCAGCTGATCTCCAGAGTATTTGAGCGTGTAGATATGTTGTAAAATTGTACTGTGAATGTGTAAATAATAATGATGGTCTTTGTTTCATGATATTTTTTTGTTGTTGTTTTTTTTTTTTTCTCCATTTTTTTAACACGGCATGTATAGTTGAAATAAAACATTACTGCACAGAAATTGTGGTGTTTTTCACAACAAACTGCTGATGAACTCAGCAGAGCTGGGTTTTGTAAGCCATCTCTTTGTTTATCGTGTTTCTGGACAACTGAGGAAGGCTCAGATTTGAGCGATAGGGCCTTGTGAATCTGGTGGTGAAATGTAGTAGGTGGTTGCAACATGACTGGGAAGGAAGTAGCTAGCTGGGTTCTGGGAGCAGACTGTAGAATGATTAAGACTATTTTTAGATGTCTGGGGCCGGCACAGAGTCAGCCACACCAGATAGCATGTGGGAAAGTTTCCAAATTAGTATGTTCTTGTAGACCCCGAACATCTGGACTAACTGCTCCCCAGGGGATAAGATCTAAGCCACCAATGAGCTGTGGTGGAATGCACACAAAAGTAGCACCCACATACATTTGGATGCATGCAGCGCAAACATCTCGTTTATGTTATGCACTGATAAAGCTGTGGGGAACATCAACAAAGAATAAACAAGTGATGGTTGGATAAGAGGTAATCACGGGTTCATGTTATCCAGTTTGTTGAACTGCAAAAAAAAATGTGATTGCCATCTGAGGTGGGATTATTCATTCACCTTTAAAGGATGTAATATATGAAACTAATGCACATATAATAAAGTCTAGAACTGCAAAATGAACACAATCAAAATACAAAAAGATTCATAAATAAAACGTGTTATCATAGGATGTGTTGAAACATGACCGCGTGGATGCAGGGGAATCTACTGCAGCCGTTAGATGTCACAGTCCAACTCGTATCACGAAACGCCAGCATCCCCGGTTTGAATCCAGCTGGGTAAAAATGCTCTCTAAACCAGGGGTGTCATGCTTATTTTACATCGTGGGCCGCATACAGCCTACTTTGATCTTAAATGGGCCAGATCAGCGAAATTTCTGTCAGTGTTACAAGTTTAGCTACACATTAAAGTCCTGAGATATCTTAATATAAGAACAATAAGTTGAATTCCAACATTATGTCTCAGTTTATCTACATAATAAAGAAATGCTGCTGTCGCAGAGAAGTCTGTCAGCACAGTTCTTTGGGCTGAAATTATAATAAATAAATGTGAACATTTTCTGCCAGCTCATTGCCCAGACTGTCCTGTAATTATAAAAAACAGAAAATATCCTACTTTTTTCCTTCTGTAAGAACAGAAATATCTATAGTTGGTAAATGATAGATTAAAAAAAACAGGAACTTTTCTGTCATATAAATCTTTACCCATTACTCAAATACTCAAGTGTGGTATGAAAGGCCATGAGGGAGTTGTTTCTTCAGCAGGAAAAGCTGTGAAACAAAAATGTCCAAAATGTATGCCCTTCCTCACTTGTTCCAAAGCCATCCAGCCATCCAACGCCCGGGGGCGTTCTCTTCTCTTTTATTCTAATTTCTTTCTTTTTTTAAACACATACAGTAATGTAATATCAGTTATACATACAACCACGATTTCAAGTGTTAACGTCCTACTAAAGCTCAAATCAATAACCGGAATCATCTGAAGCCAACTCATCTTACTAATCTGCATATAAAGAAGCTGTGTAGGAGGGCTCTAAGAGCGCGGGCCCTGCTTTGTTTTGCAGAGAGGTGATGAGGCCCTTTGGATGTTTGGCTAGGAGGCTTTGTGGCTCATCACTGCCAGCAGAATGTTGACACAAGTACTCCTTCATTGGCTTTCTGCAGGACCTCCAGAAAACTCACACCTCCTAGCAACCCCCACCCACCCTTTCTCTCCCACATACACACACACACAAGGGAAACATTCTCCCCTCTGGGTGTTCTAGCGGGGGTTGGGGTGTGATTTGGTTAGGAATGGGGAACAACAAAGAGGCACCTCTTGCTATTCTGATGTACATCCCATCCTCTCAATTTATCAGATGGTCTCTTTGAATTAGTGGAGGCAAATCAAACACAGCCAATGATTCTGTAGCCGTTTCATTCATTTGTCCGTCCGCCTGGCCACACTTAGTCTCATTACAGACAGCGACTGTTCTCGGACAAAAAGCGAGCGTTTGTTGTCATACTGACGCGTCTGTGTGCATGTGTGTGTTTATTCTATCTCTCGTGGGATGGGGAAGCGAATGGTAGAAAAAAAACAAGAAAAATACGTCTTGGTTAAGTCTAAGTGGAACACAGCGAGGCCACTCATCTAGATGCAGGCAGATGAATGTAAATTGCTAGAGCTGAAGGTACAGATGAAAATTTGATTTAAAACAGTAGCAGCGGGTACAGAGACACACACTAACGCAGAGTGATATGGCCCATTTTCTGCTTTTTGGCTTTCTCTGCAGCATCTCTTTAGAAATTTAAGGATAGTGATTAGACTGAAAATCATCCATGTGTATGCCTTCCTGTCCTCTTTTCCTAAAAGCCTGGAGGTGAAACCAGCAATTCCATTTGCAAGCCTCAGTCATGGAAAAGGTGCTCACAGGGTTTCTTTGTGGGCTTTAGCGAGTACATGCACTCTCTCTGATGTATTAAAACCTGACCCAGTGTCCAGGAATTGACTCATTTGAAAATGGAACTAAATGACAGGGAGGAAGTTAAAATTTCTCCAAGTTGGATCGAAAAAAGTTTTGACACTTGTACAGCCTCCACATTCGGGAAAAGCCATCAAAATCTAATCTGTGCGCCAAGCGACCTTACATTAACAGTTGGTTAATGGCACACACTGCTTTGAAAAGTAACTTAAAAGCCAGGCAGGCAAAAGCGGCGAAAGAGCGAGAGGTTGTTAAAATATGAGGAATGGAAGCGCAGATAGATAAGGACCGGTATTTCCCCCGCCTTTACGAGTAAATACAGGCATTTGGATCATAGATGAACAAAATAGAGTGATGGGTGAAAAATGCATGGCTTCCCAGTTCTCCCCCAGTGACCTTCAGCCAACCTCTACAATCAAGATCACACCGACACCTCAGAGAAGGACGGTGAGAGCTGTGTGATGAGATGGCAGGAGGAAGAGAACTTGTTGACAGAGCTTTTAGTTCATTGTGTATTATATAATAGTTACCATGATGTACTTATAGTCCATAGTTATTGCGTTCTCATACATGTCCAGAATGTGCTATGACAGCTTTGTTGTATCTGCACTCCCGCCTGTGTTTTATTTGGGGGCATATTAATTAGGGAGGAATACTGACTGGGAAACATATGGGAATAATTATTCTGAGGTCCCCAAGTCTTTGTAGAAACATATGCAAAGATGTCCAGAAATTGCTTAATTACTAAAATAGAACTTCAATCATAAGTTTTTGTCTTTGTTTTCTTACGGTTCACAGATGCTTTGTTGCCACAGATTGTGAACCATTAATTTAACGAATATCTACCATCTTTTTCACAGTCTGTTCCTAACATTGGATGGCTTGTGTTTCAAGTACATCACAGCTGTATAGTGCAATTAGCCATGATATTCAGCGTGATTGATGTGATTATGTTTTATGTCTTTTACTGTAAGTAAAAATCGCATTTACACACAACGAGCACAAAGGAGAGGCATTCAGCAACACAGAGCAGCCAAGTAGGGCCTTTAAGCTTGTTAGCAGCAATACACAGTCACAGAAGCTTTTTAGGTACACATGTTTCAACTGCTTGTTAACACAAACACCTGCGGTAGCAACTCAGTGCGTTTATTCATGGTCAAGGTCTAACCTGTTCAAACTAAGCACCAGAATAGGGAAGAAAAGTGACTTTTAACTTGGCATGGTTGTTGATTCCAGACAGGCTGCTCTAAATATTTCAGAAATTAGTGATTTACTGGGATTTTCCCACACAGCTGGTTTACAGACAATGGTTTGGAAAAAAAGAAAATATCCAGTGAGTAACAGTTCTTAAGGCAAAAAATGCCTTGCTGATGTCAGAGGAGACTGGCGAGATTGCTTCTGATTACGAGGCATTAGTAACTCAAATAACCACTTGTTACAATTAATGTACGCAGGTCATGTGATTGTTGGGGTTTTTCTGTATGTATGATTGTAGCGTCTACCATATAATATAAAGTGCCTTGAGGCAACTGTTGTTGTGATTTGGCGCAGTATAAATAAAATAAAATTGAACTGAATTGAATAGTAGAGCATATCTAAATGTGGGTGCTATCCTGGTTGCAGGACACTGCACACTCATACAACAAATACTGTTCAGTCACAAGGTAGGTGCACCTTTAAGCGCACCCTCCTTTATCATTTATGTCACTCCAAATGGAACAATAATTGACAAAAGGGACATCAAACTGCATTTATTAGGACTTTCTACTTAGCTCATAATACAAGTGAGCAGTAGGATCATTTTCTCATAGATTTCTGCATATGCACCTGTGTGCCTCTGATTTAATTTTTGGAACCAAATGAGTTATCACCTGCAGGTCTAATTTACCTGACTTTACTCTTTAGACCCAGGGGACCATCAATCTTTCATATGCAGTCTATGACAGAATAATGAGCTGTGAAGTAAATAAAAGCTTAGAGTATGTAAATCTGATACATCCACTTAGTTAACAAAAACATGCAATTACAATGTTTGCCAATTGTGCCAATTTATATTACTGAATGGCCTTTATAACCCTTATCTACAATAATCCATCATTATGCTAAACTCAGGCAATAAACATAGAAATTGTTGACTGACACTCGGCTCTGAGGTCACAGTAATGGTATGAAGAAAGAAATCAAATCAAGTTTGCAATTATTGTATGTTACTAGAAAAAAAAATACCAAAGAAAGAATTTATCATTCTTTCCAAGCTACACAAATCTCTGAAATCACCTTCAAAGATAACACCCACTGATAAGCTGCAAAATAAATCTTTGAGATTTATTTCCACCTAAACTTGATGTAGGAGTATCAGGTGTCGCATTAAGATCACAGAAGGGTTACTGCCACATCTGGGTTGCGTCTCAGTCCCAGATAGTGCAACATGGTACTGAATCTAGATTCATGCCATTAGGTATTACCATGCATAGCATCAAGTCAGTAATGCAGGATAGTCTGGGAGAAAGAGTCTAGAGACACAGATA